TGCATGTGTATGTATATATACATACAGGTACACATGCTCTTGCCTGATGCAGCTAGATGAACTTTTTCTGTAGTATGTCCTGCAATTACAACATCTGGTAAGGCTGAGGTTTTTCACAGGTCACCAAGTAAATTGTCTTGCTGGTTTTGCATGAGCTATAGAGGAAATATGCTGATATGAGTATATGTTGCCTATCATGTTTGACATTTGGACATAACTTACTCCTGACGTATAACACCTGCTACTGCAAAACAGAGTTCCTAAAGTGACAAACCTGTACTGTTTCTAATGTTTCATCTCTGATTAATTTCCTCTTACTGACCTCTGAAAGTGATTGCTGGATAGGGCACTGGCCTTTTTCCCCCCTCATTGTTGCTCAACTGAGTATACTTTTAAAATTACATATTGTACTGCAGCATCCCAGGAATGGGATAAGCAATTGAAGCTGTCTAATAATAGGAGATCTCTTTCTGAAGGTGTAATTTCTATGGTAAATACATGGTTTGTGCGATGACTTTGTTAATGATCTAATTCCTAGAAACAGTATGTTAGAAAATGCTTCTGATTCATGCTCAAATTTCAGGGCCGGATCTATGGTCAACAATCACCTATTTTAACAGAGCTCTTCAAGTATTTTAACAAACAGGGAAAACGTGGAGGATTTTTGTTCTTTCACATCAGGCTGATGCATGCAACTTCAGCTACGTACCTGGTACCATTTATCTTTCGCATTTCTTTCTGCCGTTAGTAACTAGTTTTTGTTTGTGTTCCAACCCTAGGATGCCATCTTACATGCACATATAGGGATAACTTTGTCCCGGGGGCACAATACCATTGATTTCAAGGATACTGCTTGTGGTTGTTAAAAGATGTTGGTTTGTATGTGTGTCTGCAAGGGTGAAAGATTAGATTAGAGCTTCTGTAGATGTTGTGCTTCATCTTGCTTTCATGTGACAGTTTCATAAACCAGGGTAGCTCCATTCAAACCAAAAGCTGCTCCCTGGAGTAAACACTGTGTGAAAGCAGAGGCGGTTCTTTCCACATTGCCTCCTCAATTCTGTTTATAAAGGGTTGTGAACATCTGGGTACAGTTGAAATTACTGATAATAATAAAAGGCACCAGATTTCTATAGGGTGATAAGATAAGGAGTATTTTTATGTGGATGTTGTGCCCTGCTCTGTCCTTTTTACTTAAAAGTTTGAAGACATAGGTGGTTGGGAGTTATATCTATTATATAGTTATGGGAGATTTATGTGGAGAAACTACATTTGGGGAAAAGAGGACAATTTCCAGAGAAGCTTTGAATATATGGTAACTAGCTGTAACGAGAAATTACTGTGTTGTTTCAATACCATTATAAAGAGCAAAAAGGATTTCCTACAGTGCGCGTTTTTTCCCCATTGTCAAATGCGTTCATTTTTAAAATTAAAGTGTAGGAAAGATGGAAAAGGTAACACTCTGTGCCATATTCCTGAATTGCAGTATATATGGGAACTGAAGCGCTAGAGACAGCAGCTGTGCTCCAGAAGGGTACTGGCACGAGCAGTTCCATCTCCTTGGCCCTGGGCTTGCCACACTAAGTGCTTTTTTCACACGGGACATTTGGCCCTTTCCTATGGGGAAACGTTGGCACGTTGTTACTCAGTCTTCATAGGGAGTAATATTGGTATGATATTACTCCCAAACTGTGCTTTGTTGACACAGAACCTCAGTTGACCACTCATCGAACTCTGTATTATGTTTTTTCCCATCATCTCATGTTATCTGCTACTTGGAGCATGCTGGAGAATTTCCATTTGAGAAATAGAAAAGATGATGGATGAAACGATCTGATGGACTCAGAGCTAGTTTACCATAGCTGGCTTAGTGCCTCTCGGATAGGCTGTGGTCATCAACTGCATGAGGTCCCTTAGCACCTTTGCTAGTGTAGACTTCAGTGAGAGAAGGGGAAGGCAGCAGTTCAGCTAATGCGGAATAAGCCATGACATCTTGAGTGTTTGACCGAGTCCTTAGTCTAGGTTGGCTGTGAACTTTGCAGAGAGAATTGACCTTGAACGCACTGGCGATGGGAAGACAGTGTAACTAAATGGTGTAAAATCCAATAGTTGTGCTCCCTGTGGGGTTGTTAAAAATTTTTACTTGGTTTGGATTTGTTTATGGGCCTGCTACTTCTGTCTTGCACTCAGACATCAAATGAATTCCCAGAAGATCAGCTGAGGGTTTCAGCTTTTCATTGGCCCTTGAGGTTTAAGTACTTGCAAAACTCCTCCCAAAGTTCAACTGACCCTGGATAAAAACCCAACAGGAGAAAAGTTTTTCAGGGTTGATTTAAAGAGTCTGTGGAGATGAAATTAATATACAAGTATTATAGTAACTGAGAAGACCAACTCCAGCACTGGTTGGTGAAGACAGAAATCTGTTTGGATCTGTCACAGGTCCGATGTTGTTCGCTTGCTCGCGCCTTTTACTGATTTAAAAGCAAAAGTTGGGACTCTAATTTCATTTGATGGAGATGGAGGACAGATTGGACTTTAGTTGTTTGAAACATTTTTACCCACTTGCGGTCTGACCCCAGCTGTAACTTCCACTGTCCGTTGAGCAATAGTGGCGATTTATCCACGGAGGTGCCATTTGCTGTAAGGAAAGAAAGGCCCTTAGTATAAAAGGGATAGTCAGTGACCCAGACTAACAGGGTAAGTGCAACCCCGTCACGTTACTTGCCCCGTGTATGATGTGTGCAGGCTTGAGAGGAAGTGCTAAGTGCTTTTTCAATTTTTTTGAAAGACATTCTCTCTGGTGCAGGAAATAAATATATCCCTGTGTACATTTTGGAATGCAGATTATGTCTCCCCTGACCCACGTTAATAACACCAGCGTCTCGGGGACTGGGGAAATGAAAATTGCAGACCTTTTCAGCTGGTCTTTCTTCCCTCGCTAACCATAGTGCAATGAAGTGGCGCAGGCGTTAACAAAGAATGTTAAAGCATGCGAAAAAAGGTGATATTTGTTTTATCCTGGAATTTAGTTTCCTTTACTTGATCACTTAAGACAAAAAGGTTAAATATTTCTATTTACATTTGATGTGTAGTACCACGGCCAGTGAATTCAAAACTGGCAGAAATTTGGAGCCTGATTTTCAGAATTGCCTGTTATCTGCAAGTCTTGGTCATGTGAATGAAAGCTGCCGGTATTTAGTACTTCCGAGTGTCAAACTTCTTTCCCTTTCCGTGCGAACATTGATAGCTTAACATCCTTCATGTGCCTGTACATATGTGTGTACACATGTGGCTACCTATATATAATGTACATACATGGCTACAGTCTACCCAGAACTTTTACTCAGTTCACTGTTTGTGTGTAGTACCCGAGGTAGTGAGATGGTGGTGTTCTGTCCAATTAAGTGATTATATCTTGATCTTTTCCCCTTCTTTTCTTGCTTGTTTTGTTTTGTGGTTTTTTTTTTCCTTTTTTGAGTCTGTTTTTATTTTAAGCTTGTCTTCCTTGATGTGACCAAGATTACGAGGACCATGGTGAGGATATTGGCAGCTTTATAGTTCTCATCCAACAGAACATAAACTGAAAGCTATTGCTTGATTACATTTCTTAAATTGTTTGACATACTTTGTCGAGATGAAGGGGTGGCTTTAGTTTGTTTTCTTGTTTCTGGCAGGTGACGAGAGTTCTTTAGCTTGACGTATTTTGACTTGGCAGCTAGACCGCTTCATGTGCGGCAGGTGCTGGAGAGGATGGCCCTGGGTCGGCAGCGGAGCTGCTCCAGCCCAGCAACAGGTTCTCCGCACCCCGTGATGTTACTCTCCCAAGCAGCAAACAGGGCTTGGGAGCTGCCCTGAGAATGGGGAGATTCCTAATCCTCATCTCACTGCAAGGGAACCCTCAGAGGTGGTTCCTTCTTATTTTTGGGCTGGCTGTCCCCTAGAGGAAATAATTGAGAGCATCTCCCTGCTACGTGACTGGAGGTCTCTGCCCTTTTCTGACCAGCTACTCAGTGTTTTCTCTGTGACACTGTCTCTCTTTCTCCAGGATGTATGAAAGGTCTTAGATTCCAGTTATGATAACTGTAGCCAATTTGATATTTTGGCCATTTTTGCTTATTTTTACATTTATACCTGCTATATTTCATATTATCTTTTACTATACTTTTAGTTCCAAGACTGGCAGATCTGTGCATTGATACTGCATTTTCTTGTGATTTGTCTTTAGCCTTTATTCCTACTTGTTAGCTCATCTTCTGGACAGCCTACTATGATTAAGTATCAAATAAGAAGTGTGTGTATGAGTATTTGCCTCTATGTTTGCATGTCTGTGTGTTTGTAACCTGTGATGCCATATTACAATAGTGATATTGATTCATGCTATATAACTGTTATTTTAATTCAACCATTCCTTTGGTATTCCACTTACAGAAGATAACTTCATCGTGTTAGGTTCAGCACAACACCTGAAGAAAGATTAGTCACATTCAGTGGACATTTGTCATAATCTTCATAAGGTTTTCCACTTGTACCAGTTTCTGGATTTTATTTGACTCTCTTTTCCATTTCTTCTATCCATAGCATAACTCTTAGAAAAATTTTCTGAAAGTTACTAGAATGTTATAATAAGTTTGAATTATTGAGAGACAAACTGAAATAGGATGTGTATTTGAATGCAGGCATAATATCTTGCACTTCCCCTGACCAAATACTTTACAGTCTTCAACTGTTTTATTCTCACTAAAACCATATTAACAATAAATCACATGAAATAATTCCACATGAGGATCGTGGGATTTCTTTACAGTCACAAAAGGCAGTGTCAGAACCAGGACTCAGGAGTATGGCTCCCTGGCACCATGCGTGGGCCACACAGCACGTTCCTTAATTACTGGCTGCCGAGCTTTTAAGCGGTTGAGTTGTGACGCTTCCGTAGCAGGAAGAAAGAAGGACCAGAGGGTGAAAGTTGCCCAGAGTTAAACCGATGTAACTGTTTCTGCCTACAGCGTTGATGACAAAACTGCCTACCTGGCCCTGGGAGCAGTGAGGAACATCTCGCTGAACATATCTATCTCCAACGTTGGGGATGATGCCTACGACACGAATGTTTTCTTCAATTTTTCTGGGGAACTCTTCTTCATCAAAATGTGGCAAAAGGTAAGAAAGGCCAGTCTCACTGTGAGCAAGACTCTTAACTTTGAGCCAGTTTAATTGCAAGATGTAGGTACAGGAGGCAGCCTGGTCCGCACTGCTGAGCTGTTTGTAACTTATTTCTGGTTATGCTGGGTTTGAATTTCTTCCAGGCTCTTTACTGAGGTTTTTTTCTTTTGTGGGTTTGATCTGTGTAAGTTACACCCTTTGTGTTTCTGTAGAAGGCACAGCACTGTTATCTGGGGTGCACTAATGAAAAAGAAAGGCCATTTGGTTGAAGTATTAAGAGGTAGAGGGAGACTGGTTTGGAAACCAGTAGGGTACCAAATGGTCGTGAAATACAAAGGATGCCTCTAGTTTGAGTGGTGCCACACTGCACTCAGCAGTCCTGGTCATCTCCTGACCTGGGCTCCTAGATTTTCTCCTCGTTGAAATGAAGGTACAAGGCTGTTCTTTGCTCGCATCCCAGTGCACATCACTAGATCCAAGAGCTCAAAAGTGCTTTGAATGTCACCTGCGTGGAGTCAGGTGAATATTTTGAGTTTGAGTCTCTTTACATTTAGATTGAAATACTTGGATGTTTTCATTAGTATGAGTTCACGTAGAGAGAAAGTTGTTGAAATACAAGCACTTGAATCGAGCTTTTTGCGAACTGATGGCCGTGAAAGCTGTCTGAGCATGAGTAATGTGAAAATAATTGTGCAAAATGGGAGCTGTACAATCAGAACAACATTCTGCTGTTCCTGCTTTTCACAGTCGTTTGTTTCTCTGCTGGAGCTTTGCTTTGCTTTGCAAGCCGTAAGAGCAATATTAGAGACAGTAGTACAACAGTTGCGTAGTATGGGATTAACTTGATCCGTTGAACCAATGATATTTTGTCATTATTTGTCATGTTTTATGATAGATATCAGTTATTATAAACGTCTTATTACATAATAAAGCAAAATGTGATAATTTTTTATACATGTTAATTCTCTTAGTGTTCATTTTTGACTACTATGTTTAATACCATTGCAAGCCTCAGAAAGTTGTCTTTGTATTATAAGCTTCGTTTTCAGACATTATGTGCTGCAATTGCACAATTTATGGAGAGGAAAAAAGCAGGGGATAAAATAGAAATGCCTTACACCAATATGCAACTTCTCCCTAATGGAAGTTTTATGTGAAGACTTGCAGGGTCTGGCCCAGCTCCTTGAAGTCGGTGGGAGGGTTTCCATTCCTTTGCACTGGAAAAGAAACAAACCTTGATGCATGTTCTTTTAAAAGGTTGTTGTGGTCTTTTCTTTTTCTTTCTTTTTTTTTCTGTGCTTACATGTTGAATATTTTGCACACATGGATTAACTGGAACACCAATTGCCTTCATTGCTCTTCTTGGCCAACACTGTGAGGGAACAAGCTGAAGATGATGTACTGTTTCCCTTGGTATTTTACCTTGACCCTGGGTCTATAGCAGACTTAAAACATCTGTGCTGAATGCTGCCTAGAAGGAGCACTTTATGGAAGCAGATGACATTGTTGTAGGGTTATCTCACTACTCAGTGTGTCTTCTGCTAATAGAAGCTAGCATTTCATTTAAAAAAAATATAAAAAATTACAGCACTCATCAAGGAAGCATTGCAGGCTTCCTTCTTCCTCGGGTCTTGCTGCAAACAGGATCAGGGCATAGTCTGCTATTATTTCTGCTGTTTTTTTCTTGTGGTTGATTTGATAGGATTTGGGGTTTTTTTTCTGATAATTATTTTAGTAACAGTTTCAAAAAAACAAGTCACAGAGTTATGTTGAGCTATTTTACTTCCTCTCAGTCAGCTTTTGCTTTAGGACAAACTAATATGTTGTTGGCCTCACTATTTGTCGAGTTGGGAAACTGGATTGCAACCTCATGGCCTCGATTACAGTGTTACATTTTCCCTAAGCTCTTTGAACAATTATTGTTTTTTGTAAAATATCACAGCCTCCATGTTTCATAACCTACTCCCATCCCTTGACATCTATGCATAATATGTACTATGCAAGTACTTTAAATAGATTTTGTTCCTGGTTGAACATTGCTCAGGCAAAAATCCAAAATGTTAAGCCAGAATAAAAATGGCAACTCCTAAGGTTTCCCTTAGTGGAGCAGTTTTGGAATCAAAAGAGCTTCTTGTTGTGGGAAACTTTCAGCAGCAACTGCCTTTTAATGCTTGGTCCTTTTTCTGCAAGATGACTCTGAGAACGATGATGGTGTGGTGGGCCTTTGTAACCTGTCTCTGGAGTCCTTTCAAGATGCTGTGAGTCCCCTGTGTGTTTTCCCTGTGTCCGCACTAGGGACGTTTCTAGTGGATTCAGTGCGGTTTTGTTTCTGTCTGTGGGTTGGTTACAGTGAGACCTGCCAGTGCAAAAGTTTAATGCTGTTTTTTTTTCAACAGAGTTATTAAGGCATAATGCCACATCTTGTGTTTGAAAAGAAACGGGGTGTCCTAGCTCAGAGGTGATGATGGTAGCGTTCCCTGAAGGGTCTGAGTGGAGCTAGCCCCTCTTTCCTTTCTGGAGTCTGAGATTTCATGAGATGTGGTGGATAGAGACACTACCTAGAGAACAGTCAGCCATTGGAATAATCTCCCCAGAGAAGTGCTGGATTCCCCAACATTGGACACTTTTAAGATTCAGCTGGACACAATGCTGGGTCATCTTGTCTGGACCATGCTTTTGCCAAGAAAGGTTGGACCAGGTGATCCTTGAGATGCCTTCCAACCTGGTATTCTGTGGTATCTAGCAAGGCTTTGCCGCATCTCTGCAAGGTGAAAAAGTGTTCGCCAACTGATATTTAGGAGAGTTCACCTCTTCTACTGTCTGATTTTCCTGTTGTGCTGCAGCCAGTCCTCCCCATCTCCATAGACGAATCCCCGCATTTTCTTTCTGCAGTTCCTGGCACAGTCCTTCTCAGGAAAGGCACAGTAGGTGGCATGGGCTGACTTCTCATTTCTGCCCACGCTCCCTGTAGCCCTTCTGCCTCTCACTGCTACTGCCCTTTGAAGGGGCTGTCTTCACCAAGGTGTCACTCTCCTTCGGCACTCAAAGCGTCCTTTCACCCTTTTTAAATACCGGGGGACTTTTATGGGGCAACAGGAATGTAACTATAAAATACCAAATTTGTTAACTGGTGAGATTCCTGAAGACTTAGGATGCAACCGTGGGTTTTGTCTCCAGTAGCTTAGTGTGCATGTTCTTTTCCTTTATATTTACATTTACTGCCTTAAAGTTATGCCAGTTATTGTACCTCTTACTGGGCATGACAACACTTTTGTTATGAACCTTGTTTTTCAACTCCTAAAGTTGTTGGGGTTAAACTGTTTGAGATTTTTAGAAGCCAATTACAACTCACATTGCTTATTTAAAAAGAAAAAAATCATTTTAAATGATGAAGTACTTTCAGGGCTGGGCTGAGGCTGGGTGTATTTTTGAGAGATTGGTGAAGATTGGACATTAATACAACTCCTGTGCAAAGTTTCAAGCTCTTACTCTGTAAGTGTGGGTTGTTTTACAGGTGTATGGAAGTACTGCACTGCAGTGAATTTCCAAATGTGTTCACTAAGAAGAATGTTTCTTTTGAAATACAGAAAGATTTAATCATATTCTCTTTAAAAAAGGAAAAAAGAGAGCGGGAAAAAGACACCTCACCTGTCTGCTTAGATTTTTTTAATTTACTACATTGCCAAAGAAATCTTGATCTCCTCTTCTGTATAGAGTAGATTCTTTTTTTTTTTTTTTTATAGTCTTAAGGTTTATTGCCCCATAATCTTAATTCAGCTTCAGGAAAGCATCCTGTTTCAGAGTCTGAAAAATCCACTTAAGGGAGGTGATACCACTTTCCTATAGGAGAATGCAGAGTGCTGCTCTGTGCTGAATCTGGAAAAAGAATAAAAAGCTATTGCTACTAATTTCGACACCATTTCACATCTATTGGAATCGCCTCCTGGCTTGTGATGTTTTGCTGAAAATGCTTGCCACTTTGCTAACCGTTGGTTAGCTGCTGTTCATCACAGAGGGGGATTTTCCGTCCAGTTGCAGAAAAAGCACTGTAAGCTTGCTGGCAGTAGCAGTTAACGTGGCGTAGGGCAGAACCATATCTTTATTAAATCAGCTCAGCTATGGCATGAGATTTTATAGCAATGGTATAAAAATAGCATATATAACATAATAGTAAACCCAACAGCAGTAACCCAATATATATGTAGCGTTATTCTCACTGCTCTGCAAGGACTGGCAGGAATCTATCAGCTAACCCTATTTCAGTGCTGGTTACGGAGAGAGTAGGTCAGGAAATCCCATTGCTGACCATCATTTCCAGCTGTGGGTTGTTCCTAAATTTCAGACAGGCTCCCAGCAGCCAAAGCCAGCTGTGTGTAACATTTTTTCTCACAGCAGCTTTCGCAAGCAACAGCTGAGTGAAGTTAGCAGGGCTGGTCCAGGACAGGGTGAACAGTGAGGTTACGGTTTCCTGGGGTGCAGTAATTTCCCATGATTCGTTCATGAGCGTGTACCTGAGACTTTGAGTATGAATATAGCCAGTAACCGAAGTTGTGCTGCTTACAGATTCTGGGGTTTTTCTTCTGACGAGTATTGCAGTACTGTCTCTTTCTGTGTTAGCAGGGAGGTCATGCTGTTTGGATATGAACTCTTTATTCCTCGCTCCCAGAGTGCTTGCCGGCGTCTCTTGACTAGGATTGCCCAGAAGAGCTGCAGACGCAGGCAGAGTTTAATTTTTTCCAAACTGGAAATTCTCTTACACTGGTTTCCCCTACTGCTCATACTTTCTAAGAGTCTTAAGGCTGGCAGGGGCAGGATACTGATGGGGCACAACCGCCGAAGACACGTGCCCTTTTTTGGATCCAGCTGTGCCACTGGAAGAAAATTTAGGTCCTGGGTATTTGTTATGTCTCTTTTTCCAGCAGTTACTGCCCCTTTGGATCCACTGGCAGACAAGTTAATGTGATCAGTCTCACTTCACATCCAGCTGGTTAGCAGAA